TAAGCTCCATTCCGAGGCCCAAACTGATGAACCTTGGACTTGGGGGGATAGTTGTCACGATCCAAACCCACCCCTATGGGTTAGCATCGTAACCGGCTAGTAATCCTTGGATTACCAGAGGCCTCTTGATAGATTAACATATATTTAGGGGCTGCAGAAGCTAATATACAAAATATAAGTGGTCTATTGAGCTGTGGAGACATACATGAGACGTATAATATAAAACTTTTATAGACTTTATAGTGATGTCAAAAGATACAATATTTACATATCACTCTTAGGAGTATAATGTCAGTCATCATGCCCAAGACTTAACAAAATATCCAAGTCTATTATGATTAAAAAAACAGCCATAAAACTTGACTTTATTCAGAACCTCCTCGGGAGGCACAAAGGTTGGCTGACAAAAACTGAAACGTACACCGTCAACTTTGGGCCTGGTCACGCGCCTGCTCACCTACATACATAATATAAAATAGTGAGCGAAAGCCCAGTGAATAATAACGGAGTAAAGGGGTTTTAATGAATGAAGTCCATACATATTCTGAAATCATAATTTAGATTTATAACAGATTCATATTCGTATTCTTGTTCAGATCATATATAGAAATCTTAATTCATGTTTAATCATATGTGGTACATCCATTAGCGCTAACAGAGAAGATACAGAACAGATGCAGATCATGTAGTGGTTATGAATAACCAGTTCCATAAAGGAACCTCTGGATCCGAGGTAATAGAGAATATACATGCTGAGCTCCATGATGGAGCCTCCGGTATGGGTAACAGATGACAGACATAATAAGTTCCATAATGGAACCTCCGATACCGGGTAATAGCTAACAAATATCACATGATACTAAGGATGCCGCGAATACATTGTCAGAAATTGGACAATAATTCATTGTAGAGAACATATCACTTCAGAAACAAATCTTAATTCATCATACATAAAATAAATAAAGTTGAATATAACTTTACTAAGTTATTACTCACAGTTGGCTTCGAGTGCAGATAGATAGAGCACACTAATCAAACGGTCTACGGCACGTGACCTACACGAACACATAACAAATACACACTTGAAACACTCGTTTGAATTATACATAACTTATTTCACTTGTTCTTTGTGTGTTTCTACCCTTATTCTTATTATGGTGTCTTAATCATGGCCTAGGACTGCCTAGGATGGGATAAGGATGCAAAAATGCACTTGAAGACATTTTCAAAACTTGCTGAAAACAAGGTTTACGCTCTATCGTGGCTTTCCTCGCTCGAGCGGACATACAAGAAGTGAGGGTTCGCTTGAGCATGATTTCCCTCGCTTGAGCGGATTGTAAACTTTGGAGAAAGTATTGGTTGCTTGTTTTTCACGCTCGACGGACGCTCCATCCTTGCTCGAGCGTAAGACTCAGACCCTTGCTCGAGCGTGACTTTCGTCGCTTGAGTGTGCTGCAAAACATATGAACTTCTGGATACATGCATTTCACGCTCGAGCGTGCTTCAAGTCGCTCGAGCGGAATTGTACACACTCAGAGTGCTCGCTTGAGCATGAATTCCTACGCTCGAGTGTGGATTCAAATTCTGGAATTTCCAGATTTGATCTCTAAGCTTCAAACTCAAACCAAACACTTCAAAACTCATTCTATTGGGCCAAAATTCTGGAAAACATTTAGAAACTTACAAAATATCATGCTTTGAAGATCATTTCATGAAATCAAGCCCCAAAAGCATGCCAGTTGTTCAAAAATTCAACTTAAACTTTATGAATGTTTTATGAACATAACATGCATAAATTTCCTTAAACTCCAACTTCTCAAAACATGATCAAATGCTACAAAACATCATGAAACTTGATGATTTCACAAAATTAAGGTGAAGTCAAGACATGCAAGAGAGGATTACTTGAAATTCAACTCAAAATGCAAGAAAAGGTGCATGCATGCATGATATGGCCCAAGTTCATCCACTCTAGCTCAAACCTTGCATTAATCAACTAAATTCTCTTGAATTCCTTCACTAATGTCTAGAATGCAAAGCTTAAGGACCAAATCCTCACCTAGAGTCTTTAATTCTTTGGGGTTTGATGATGACTTGAGTAATTCTTTAGTTTCCAAGCAATTTCCTACCAACTTCAAGGTTTGATCTCAATTCTTGCCCTCTCTCTCTCTCTCTCCCACATTTTTATCTCTTAGAGGCTTAAAGTTGATATGAAAAAGAGGCTCAAGTGAGGTGTATAAGCCTTATGTGGGCTTGAGTGGAAGTGTAATTAATTAAGGCTAAATAGATGGGTATTAAGTTAATCTAATTTAATCGTTCCAATTCGGATTTTAATTGAACCTACCATAAAATTCTAAAAATTCTAATTAACATGCAAATCAAGTCAATTTCTGAGTCGGATGTCGATAAGGCCTTCAATTCACAAATCGAAACCAAAACATGAACAGATCTTTCTATGCTGAACAGATATAAACACAAAATAATGCAATGCACATGTCGTTAACTCAGGATTTCTTCTTAATTACTTGTAGGCACTCTTAGGCATGAGTTAACGTTAATTATGGGTTGGGGTTGTTACAATAGTGGGACCAGAAGGCATTCAAATCGCAATTCAGCACCCCAAGCCTACCGAAGATATGAGAACCCAGAAGAAGAAATTTGAGAAATTGAAGCCTTTTAATATTTATCTCAGCAAAATTTTTTGACTTTTTGTCGATGGAAGCTCCAACCTATAAACAGTGGAGGTAGGAATTATTCTGACTTTAGTAGACAGACAAATGATTAAGCTTTCAATCAAGTTGGGGTTTAATGCCTCAAAAAATGAAGCCGAATATGAGGCGCTGATTGTAAGATTAAAGCTTGTAGCAACAGTTGAAGCAGATGAAGTGGTAGTCTACTGTGACTCCCAACTCATTGTCAGTTAAGCAACATACGAGTTTACAGTTCGAGATGAGAGAATGTCAACCTACATGAAAAAGGTCCTTCAATTGTTTGGACAGTTCAAAAGTAGTCGTCTCTAACAGGTTTGCCAAGGAGATAATAGTCCCAGAGATACACTAGCCAACCTGGCCTTGACCATGAAGATAGACTCTCCTAGAATCATTATGGTTGATTACTTGTCAGGTCCAAGTGTTGAGCCTATGATTACAAAGTATGAAGCGATGTGTGTAGAGCTCAGTTCAAGCTGGATGGACCTAATTGTGAAGTTCATTAGAGATGGACAATTGCTAGAGGATAAGAAAGAGGCACATAAGGTAAGGCTTAAGTCGGTGAGGTTCTGCTTGTCGATTGAAGGCCATCTCTACAGAAGGTCCTTCGTTGGACCATTATTGCGATGTGTGCATCATTCCCAAGTTGAAGACTTCTTATACAAGGTGTCAAACAAGATTGTTTTGGATGGAATCAAGAAGAAATTGGAAGAAGCTAAAGTCAAGTGGGTAGAAGAGTTGCCTAACGTACTGTAGTCAGATCAGACTACGCCGAGAAGATTGAATGGAGAGACTCTCTTGCCATGGCCTATGGCACAGAAGTAGTAATACCTTTGGAGATTGGTATTCCAAGAGTAAGGACACAAGCAGTAGAAAATGGGCAAGATGAGGCATTCCTAACCTGAGATCTTGATCTGATTGAAAAAAGAAGGGAGAGAGCATCACTTTGGCTGGGAGCATACCAACAAGTACTTGCCAGAGCATACAACAAAAAAGTCAATCCAAGAAAATTTAAAGTGAGCGACCCCATCTTGAGGAAAGTTGTTGGCAACAAGAAAGATCTTAAGCAGGGAAAACTTGGCCTAAACTGGAAAGGACCGTACAAGATTATCTCGGTTGTCGGTTCAGGAGCATATCGACTAGAAGATAGCGATGGTAAGTAGCTACCAAGACCATGGAACACTAGTAATCTGAAATTTTTCTTTCATATTAGTTTTTTTTTAGAATTTTTTAGCCTAGGTTTTGATTAATAAAAAGTTAGTTCGATTTGTTTGTTTAAATTGTTGTTGATTTTTGTATGATTTTATTGTGTTACTTTGGTAGAAAGTTAGGATGAAGTTAGGCCGATGTGATGTTTCAACGAGAAATTAGACATTTAACTTAGACTTACCAAGAAGGTAGAATGAAACTAAGTTAAAGTGATGTTTCAATGAGAAACAAGACGAGATTAATTATGACTTTGCCATTAGGCAATAATATCGGTCTGCTGACTTGGTTAGTTTATGATAAAAAGCCGAGGTAGTTAGTACTAGGAAATCGATGCACTAAGACGAGTTAAACATGATGACATTGGTGAAAGATGTCTAGGTCTGTATGACTCAGGCAAGAATGAGATGTTGACGCATTAATGTGAAGGTAAGTTGAGCTTACATTCACATGAAGGGGCAAAGAGCAGAGATGAGTTGATGGAAATTTGAGTTGCTGATTTAAAAGTGGTACTTGGTGATATTTTCAAAAAATGTACAACCTAAGATAGCTTAGTTCGAGGTAACTACACTATCCAAGATAGGATTTGAATTCAGGATATTACACTTAAAAATTTCTACGATGCAAGTATCGAAGACATGAAAGTAAAGAAGACATGCAACACTTGGACAAAAAGCAAAACGAATTGTTCATTGAAAGAAAAGCTATGCATCCATAAAAGGAGTTACATTAGAAGACACTTCGGTCTTGCAAAACAAAGTCTTATTCAAAGGGACATCATTGTTCAAAAGCAAAAAAGTAAAGATAGAAGAAACAAGCAAAAAGAAAAAAAAAAAAATCCTAAGTCTAAGCTTCTAGTTGAGCTTCAGTCTGGATTTTGGATTGAATAATAACAATCTGGAGGGCCTCGGTTGCTTTAATGGAGGAGGTGTTGGCCTCAGTGTTGGCAGCAATCTCCTCATTTATTTCTTTGATGATCTCCTCAACTGATTGTTTTTGCTATGCTCTCATCGACCCCTTTGGTGGTAGAAGAAGTGTTCTTGGTGACCTCATCATCATCTACCTTGAGATTAAGAATGTTTCCATTCAACATGGAGACTTGGTTCCGGCAACTTCTTCTTCTTCGTCTCCTTCTTTATAGCCAACTTTTTTCTCGGATTGAGGCTCTTTGGTAGGAGAATGAGGGAAAGATAGAGACAGCTTTGACAGATCTTGGTGTGGCGAGTCCTTGGGGATGAACAGAGCAATCAAAGTAGTGGTCCATCCGAGGTCGTAGCCTCTATTGTAACCAATGTCTACTTGCTTCTTGTAGCCCTCTTTGATGACCACTTTTCCTTCCTTGTAGGCCTTAGCATCAGTCTCCCTGATTTCTTTCGCCTTGGTTGCCAGGGTTTGGGCAAGTTTTTTCTTGGCTTTGGCAGTCCTCTTCTCGGCAGCCTTGGCAACAAGTTTAGCTTTTGTGCTTTATCCTTGGCTGTTGTGATGACTGTCTGTTGTTTCTCATGTTTCCTTTCTGAATCGTTGAGCTGACAAAGGTAGTCAGCTGCCTCAAAGGTTTTCATCGTGAGGTCTTTTTTCATCATATCGGCCTTGAGGGGAAATAAGTGAGCATGCAGAATGGACTGCAAAGAGAATAAAATAGATTGTAAAAATATTCTAAGTGTTAAGTATTGTTTAGAGAGACAAAGAAGATCTTGCCATAGTAGAGTGCCTCAACATGAAGGCAAAGTGCTCATACTCATTGCATTCGCTTATTGCGTCCATGATGACTAGAAACAATAATGCGGTGGAAATAGTAGCAGCAACCTTGGGGTGTTGAATGGTGCTATCTTTAACCTTCAGTGGTCGGCTGTCAATGGTTATATCACAAATCCATGCATTATCAATAGTAACGCTGGGGCCAGATGATTTTATGCGTTTGGAAGTCAGAGCCTCAGTAGACTATGTAGCTTGTCTCTTTTCGGTCGCCATCTAAGAGATAGGGACGTTGTTTTCTCGGTCTTTCTCTTCAGATAATGGTGTGACGGTTTGCTTGGCCTTCTTTGCCTTCTTTGTTCTTTTTGGTTTTTGGACTAAGGGAAGAGAATGAGTGGATTACAATGTGACAATGTTAATGATGTCGCCCAGGATGTCTTTAACTACGGTAACTCAGTGGGCTATTTCGTTAAAAGTAGTAGCGATTGTGACATTGTGTTTGATTTTTGAAAGAGTAATGAAAGGATCTGATGGATTGTTGGCTGGAAGCTCAAAATTCAGTGTTTCTTGCTTTGAGTTCTAACTGCAAGATTATCACTTGGTTGGCATCGGCGTTGGCGCTGGCGTTGGCGTTGGTATTGACGTTGAGCAGGTGGAACGTGAAGAAAATGTGTCGAAATAGACGGCTAGTCGGTTAGGTTAGATGTGGAGCTTTGGTTAGGCCGTGAGAAGGATCTTGGAGTTGTTGTTGATGACGGAGTTTGGTTTCGAGAAAGAACATTGGGAAGTGGAGACTTGTAAGTGGCGATGTAGTTAAGCAGAAGAAGTGCTTCTCATTCATGGATGAGCAATCCAAGGAACCTAGCAAGGTCGGCTCGCTTGACATATGATTCGGGGAATGATTTGCTAGGTTAAGGAAGTTCTACAAAACAGAGAAAAGAGAAGTTAATAAATTGACCAAGTGTAAGATGTTGATTTTAGGTGATTAAAGTGTGTGATTTAGGGGAACTAATGCTTACTTTCGTGATCCCGTATAATCCCTCTCCACAAAGGGTAAAGGCGAAAGTTGTCGTCTAGAGCAAATTCCTATTTGTCCTTAGGTAGTCTTTTCCAACACCCTTGTTGGACTTTAGAAGGTCATCTATTAGCTTGTAGGTAGTAGATCTGGGTTTGAGATAGAAGGAGGTGTCATTCTTGGATTTGAGGCTACACATGGTGTAATAGTATTGGACATCAAAAGGGCTAACCTAGACTTATGTTGGTGACACAACTCGGCTATGTCGTTTATGATACGAAAGGTGTTTATGGCCAATTGCATTGGGTTCAACTTGTAAAAGTGTATTTCTCGGAATAAGCCGTTAAAAAGGAATTTGATTCCACCTTCTATGAAAGATACCATAGGGAAATGCATGCAATCCTCTATAGGCATAATGGAATTGTTCTCACCGGCTAGCCTAATGTGAATGTCAATCAGAATGTTGAATTCTAGGTGAAAGTTTTCTATCTTAGTTATTTCGACCTAGGGTTTACGGGAAGTCCTATGAGGATTCTTGAAATTGCTAAGTTTGTGTCTCCCTAAGGTGATTCAAATGTAAAAACCTCAGAATCAAATCTAAAATGTGCAAGAATTATAGAAAAAATGAAAAGATGATTGGAAGTTTTATGAAATTTTAGAATTGCTTATGATGATTCAGAGCTTATACAGTTCGAAATGTAATAATATAAAGAAAATTGGGAAATGTTTGACAATAATGATGAACAGATTCGAAATCTAGAAAAATTGAAAATGAAATCTATGGATTGGGCCACTAACGGGGTGATTAAGGTGAAATGGAGCACAAATTTGAGTTCGCTAAAGTGAAACAAGTCCTTTAATTAGAGCAAAATCGTGTTTTGGTCGCCAGAGATGGTGATTAGAGCAGTTGTAACGGTAGGAATTTGGACGGACGACAATGAAAGTAGAGAGAGAAATTCTGAGAGTAGAGAGAGAGAGAGAATGCAGAAGTGAATAGATGAGAAGAGAGACTGAAAGGTTTCGGGGAAGAGGAAAATGTGACAAAGGTGAAATTATTCAAATTCCTTATGAAGAGTGTAGATGGCTGACATCAGTTGGCATCAGGCGGCATGTGTCAGTGATGGGATGCGCACAGATCAATGGGGAGATGACACGTCATGAAGTTGGTTGGACGATTTTGTCACGCCCTAAGTTCCATGACAACGCCGCACACTCAATTAAGTGAGCATGCAAGGCTAAGAGTCCAACACATAACCAACAATGTAAAATACGCAAATTAAATCCTTAATTATCATAATGCTAAAATCCATAAAAATAGATAATTCTTATCATATGAAATTGTCCACCAAGTCCACCAATATAATCCACTAACAAAAAAATAATCCAAGCACTTAAATCATAGTTCTACTCTCGGCACTCCCACAAGTAAAAACCTCGTGCAGCTCTACACCTCAGAATCTGAAAAATAAAATAAAATAAGGGTAAGCTAGAAAGCCCAGTAAATAACCAACCATCACTGCTAGCTGGATCAAGTATACCAAAAAATAGTGGATAACCAATAAATATATTTTTGCTACTATTCAATAAATGAACAATTATTTTGTAAGATGGTTTCATAGCTGAAAATAAACAGTGTAGCAATACATTTTAATTGAAAATACAATGAGGTAATTCGATGAAATTTTGTTGTTCAAAATTGATGGTTCGATATTCAAATGGTTCAATGATGCAATTCACAAAACCCAAGTCTTGGTGGCTACAGTCACTTAGCCCATGACAAGGCCCAGAACCACACATAGACCGATGGTAAAGCCCCAAAAGAAACTAGTTTCTGTGCCAATAAATAACCCCCATTGGCTAGGGTCCAAATCATCGTCAGACTAGAGTGATGTTCAAAATTCAAACAATACAAAAATTTTAAATAAAATATTCGATATTTTCAGAATAAACGTTTAGTACAATATTCAAAATAGTTCCACAAAATATTCAAATAATTTTCATAATAATATTCGATATTGTTTTATACTTGGCCCATATTTTATTTTAAGAGAACATGAAGGTTATAAATAAATACTTATAATTCTAAACGATTCAATAGGAATAAAAATAAACCAACAGTGATAGAAGGTTACTTACCTCAAACGCTTAAAAAAAAATATTTCCCAAGCTAATATCAAATTATCAAGATCCACCTCAATCTCACAAACCTAATAAAATATTACACCGCATAAACAATTATTATTGATCACCATAATGCATCCATCATTCTTTTCTTTATGATAGAAAAAGCTAATCCTATAGTCTATCAGTAATTCCCAAACCTCAGTACCGAAACAGAGCCACTACGGCTTGAACAATTTTTTTTCAAAGCTTACATTATTCTATTGTTGTTTATAAACACACATAATTTTTAATTACTACCAGCCAAACTTGCATGCCAAAATTACACCACCAATAACCTTAACTTATCACATATCAGTCCTAAAATATAAACCATCCAAACGGAATGAAAAAAAAAATACACTCTAAAGTCGGGCAAACCGACACCCCCAACATAAACTATATCAATATATTTATATAATCATATATGCCCAAAAAATCATCTAATGATATATTGACACTAAATTCATAGATAGGAATACAATAGAATAAATCTTACCTAAGTGATGAATAAACAAAACCACCACTCTTATGAATCCTCCCTCTTCCTTTTGGTTTTGGTTTCTTTTCTTTTCTTTTTTTTTTTCAAACCCTTGCTGCCTTTCCCCTCCGCTGCATCCACGCCTTTGTTTGTTTTTTTTTTTCTTTTACTTTTCAAACCCTTGAGTAGCAGCCTCCAAACCTTCCACAACACTTTCACGAGGCTCCGGTTTCTTTCCTTTTTTTTCTTTTGTTTTTCTTCTTTTACATAAAGGGTTATTAACCTAATTTCTTAAAATTACTAAATTACCAATACAATTTAATTTAACTACTACTTTATTCAAAAATAATTCTACATATAACTTGGGTTTTACATTCTTCCCTCCTTAAAAGAAATTTTGTCTTCGAAATTTGACATACCTGGAGTCTTAAAAAGTTGTGGATACTTTCGTTTCATTTCATCCTCGAGTTCCCAAGTTGCTTCTCTTTCTGAGTGATTGCTCCATTGAACCTTAACATAGTAGATGACTCAAGGCCTCAAAACCTGTTCCTTCCTATTAACAATTTGTATAGGGTGTTCCTCAAAGGTCAAATCCCCCTTAAACTGCAACGGTGCATGATCAATCACATGACTAGGATTCGGTATATACTTCCTTAACATTGACACATGAAAAACATTATGAACACCAACTAGTGAAGGTGGTAGAGCAAGTCTGTAAGCTACCTCTCCAATTCGATCTAAAACCTCAAATGGTCCAATAAATCTAGGACTCAGTTTGCCACGAACACCAAACCTCATTACTCCTTTCATAGGAGACACCTTAAGGAACACATGGTCTCCAACCCCAAACACCAAATCGCGTCTTCTGTTATCTGCATAACTTTTCTGTCTACTTTGTGCAGTGTGAAGTCACTCTCTAATAAGATTGATCTTGTCCACTGTTTGTTGCACAATCTCAGGCCCTAATAACTTCCTTTCGCCTACATCTTCCCAACAAATAGGTGATCTACACTTCCGTCCATATAAAGCCTCATATGGTGCCATTTGAATGCTCGCATGATAACTATTATTATAAGAGAATTCCACTAAGGCCAAATGCTCATCCCAAGAACCTTCAAGATCAATAACATAAGCCCTCAACATGTCTTCAAGAGTCTGAATAGTTCTCTCTGTCTGTCCATCAGTTTGAGGATGAAAGGCAGTGCTAAAATTCAAACTAGTACCCAAAGTTGTATGCAAACTCCTCCAAAACATAGATACAAATCTGTTATCTCTATCAAACACTATGGTCACCGGAATACCATGCAACTTCACAATCTCCTTGATATACAATTTTGCAAACTTCTCTAAGGAGAACCCTACCTTAAAAGCTAGAAAGTGAGTGGATTTGGTCAATCGATCAACGATAACCCAAATAGCATTGTTACCACCTTGGGTCCTAGGTAACCCCGTCACAAAATCCATGGTAATATGTTCCCACTTCCACTCGGGAATAGGAAGATGTTGTAACTTACCTGCAGGTCTCTGATATTCAACTTTCACTTGTTGACATACCAAACATTGAGCAACATATTGAGCAATTTCCCTCTTCATATTATTCCACCAAAAGTTCCTCTTCAAGTCTTTATACATTTTAGTGCTCCCTGGATGTACTATATACCCTAAACTATGAGCTTCTCTCAGGATTTCTCTCCTGATCTCTAAATCATTAGGCAAACACAACCTCTCTCCAAATCTCAATGTTCCATCTTTATGTATACAAATTCCATCTGAAGCCCTATTTCCATTTCAGCCTTAAGTTTTTTCAACTGAGGATCTCTTCCTTTAGCATCTTTAATTCTATCAATCAATGTGGGTTGAACCCTAAGGTTTGCCAACTACACTCCATGGTTATGCCATCTAATCTCAATATTCAACCTTCGCAAGTCCTCTAAGATATTCTTTTGGTTAGTGATCAAGGTAGCCAAATTACTCGGGGTCTTTCTACTCAAGGCATCTGCCACTGCATTGGCTTTTCCCGGATGATAATTGATAGTCAAATCGTAGTCTTTTAATAGCTCCAACCATCGCCTTTGCCTCATATTCAATTCTTTTTAAGTGAAAATATACTTCAGATTTTTATGATCAGTGAATATCTCACATTTCACCCCATACAAGTAGTGCCTCCAAATTTTCAATGCAAACACCACTGCAGCCAACTCCAAATCATGTGTAGGATAATTCTACTTATATGGCTTCAACTGCCTAGGCGCATATGCCACTACATTATCATTCTGCATCAGGACACAACCCAAGCCCATCTTCGATGCATCACTATAGCTGGTAAAACCTTCATCTCCGGACGGAACTATAAGTACTGGAGCACACACCAATCGACTCTTTAGATCCTGGAAACTCTTCTCACAATCATTAGACCACTTAAATTTAACCGCTTTTTGTGTTAAACGAGTCAAAGGCATAGAAATTTGGGAAAATCCCTCGACAAACCTTCTATAATATCCTGCTAAACCCAAGAAGCTACGAATTTTAGTGACATTAGTAGGCCTATTCCACTCTACCACAACCTCTACTTTCTTGGGGTCAACAAACACCTCGTCTTTAGATATCACATGACTAAAAAATGATACACTCTCCAGCCAAAATTCACACTTATTTAATTTAGCAAATAATTTATTCTCTCTTAATATCTGCAACACTATTCTCAGATGTTCTTCGTGCCGCTCTTTACTCTTCGTAGTACACAAGAATGTCATTAATAAAAACAACCACAAATTGATCTAAGAAGGGTTTAAATACTCTGTTCATTAAATTCATAAAAGCTGCAGGCGCATTGGTCAACCCAAACGGCATCATTAAAAATTCATAATGCCCATATCTAGTTTGGAAGGCTATCTTAGGTATATCTTCCGTCTTAACCTTCAACTGGTGATAGCCAGAACGAAGGTTAATCTTAGAAAAGACTTGTGCTCCTTGCAATTGATCAAATAGGTCATTTATCCTAGGCAAAGGATATTTATTTCGAATTGTCAAATTGTTTAACTCTCGATAATCAATGCAAAGGCGAAAACTACCATCCTTCTTTTTCACAAATAAAACGGGCACACCCCAAGGAGAAACACTAAGCCTAATAAAGCCCTTATCTAGTAACTCTTGTAATTGTTCCTTCAATTCTTTCAACTTTGCTGGGGCTATCTGATACGGAGCCTTGGATATAGGACCATGCCGAGTATCAATTCGATGGCAAACTCAATTTCTCTATCTGGTGGCAACCCCGGTAAGTCTTCAGGAAAAACATCGGGAAATTCCTTTACAACTAGAATATCCTCTAACTTTAATTCAGTCTCACGGATATCTCTTATAGAAGCTAAATAACCCTTGCAACCATTCCTCAACAATCGTCTAGCTTGCAAAGCTGAGATTACCAAAGGAGGAGTGTTAACTCCATTACCCACAAAACAAAATTCTGGTTGATCAGGAATTTGAAATATTACCCTTTTTCCTCGACAATCAACATAAGCATAATTGGTTGCCAACTGATCCATTACAAGAATTATGTCAAAGTCCCGCATATCTAAAACAGTCAAGTCTACAATCAATCTCCTGCCATCTATACTAACCACACGAGATTCGCAAATTAAGTCAGCAACCATAACACCACCTATTGGGGTTTCAACACATAAGTCAATCTCTCTAAAGACACATTTCCATCCATGCTTCTTAACAAATCCCACAGACACAAATGAATTTGTTGCTCCAGAATCAAATAACACATGTGCATAAACAGAAGACACTAAAATAGTACCTGACACCACCGTGTTGGAAGTCTAAACATCTTGTTGTGTGAGTGCGTACACTCGACCTTGAGTCTTTGGCTTATGACCTCCATTTTTCTTTTGATTTCCTAAAGACATTCTGTTTGTTGAAGTTCTTTTATTTGTCCATGCTTTTTGTTCAGTCTCACGTCCTTTTAGGTTAGGGCAATCAGCTATCCTGTGCCCCTGTTGCCCGCAAGAGAAACAAGCCCCAGTATTCCAACGACACTCACTATCTCGATGGAATCCATTACATCTAGTGCACTGTACCCGATCATTCTACTTGTCAATAGTACCACCCACAGTTCGACTTGCCCAACTCCCAACCGAAGAAGTGTTTTGTCTCTTAGCATTGCCCTCCGAACTGTTGTTAGTTTGGAAGTTGGAAGAACTAGGTCTCTTTTTATAATTCTCTTCTTTCTCTTCTTGGGCTCTAGTGAGGCCACTCTCAACCAACAATGCCCTATTCAACACTACTCCAAAAGTAGGTAACTTGAAAGGAACCACCTATTGCATAATGTTCGTTCTTAGCCCACCTTCGAACTTTCGTGCTCTGCTATCCTCGTCTGCTTCACATGCTGATGAAAATTTAGACAACTTTGTAAACTCGGCTTTATATTCTACAACCGTCTTATTCCCTTGCTCCAACTTTGAAAATTCCCTCTGTTTTTGTAGACGAACACTCCTAGGGAAGTGTTTCTCATTAAATGCATTCTTAAACCTTTCCCATGTATATGGGTTGGCATCATGCTCATGTATGCACTTCTCCATTTAGCACCAATCATTAGCTATCTCTTGTAGCATAAACGCAGCATAGGTCACCTTCTGATCATCCGTACACTAAAAAATAGGAAACAACTTTTCCATTTCTGTCAACCATTTTTCAGCCTCCAAAGGGTCTGTGGCTCCGTCAAATGCCAAGGCTATCTTCTTAAACTTAGTAATGTTACAATGTGGCCTCGGTTGTGGCCCAACACTTGGATGCATTCATTGTTGTTGCTTCATAAGTCTAGTCAAGTTGTTCCCTATGGTGGTTTATTGTTGCACCACCCCGGCCAAAGTCTCAAGCACTTGAACCATTCCAATTGGATTGGGGATTACAGCTTGTTCTTGTTGTCCCAACTCTTGCCCCTGATTTCCTCTGATTGCTTGAGAACCACTACCAATATTAGTCACATTCCTTCGCCGATTGTTATTACCAGTCCGTCGATTCGTTTGACCCTAGAGCGTATTCCTAGCCATATTTGCCAATGTCTCCTCATGTTCCATTGCAACCTATATGCATCAATAATAAAGCCTCATCTTATTCTATTCTCAAGTCCCTATAACACGTAAATAAAATCAACATTTTACCAAGTTATAAGCGTTCCCAATCCTACATCTACCCAATCTCACCACTATTCTATACCAGCCTTTAAAATTACAACCTAGCTCTGATACCACAAAATTGTCACGCCCCAAGCTCCGTGACAATGCCACATACTCAATTAAGTGAGCATGTAAGGCTAAGAGTCCAACACATAACCAACAATGTAAAATACGCAAATTAAATCCTTAATTATCATAATGCTAAAATCCATAAAAATAGTTAATTCTTATTATATGAAATTGTCCACCAAGTCCACTAATATAATCCACTAACAAAAAAATAATCCAAGTACTTAAATCATAGTCCTACTCTCGGCACTGCCACAAGTAAAAACCCAACGCATCTTTACTCTTCAGAATTTGAAAAAAAATAATAAAATAAGGGTAAGCTAGAAAGCCTAGTAAATAACCAACCATCACTGCTAGCTGGATCAAGTATACCAAAAAATAGTGGATAACCAATAAATATATTTTCGCTACTATTCAATAAATGAACAATTATTTTGTAAGATGGTTTCATAGCTGAAAATAAACAGTGTAGCAATACATTTTAATTGAAAATACAATGAGGTAATTCGATGAAATTTCGTTGTTCAAAATTGATGGTTCGATATTCAAATGGTTCAATGATGCAATTCACAAAACCCAAGTCTTGGTGACTACGGTCACTTAGCCCGTGACAAGGCTCAGAACCACAATAAACCGGTGGGAAAGCCCCAAAAGAAACTAGTTTTTGTGCCAATAAATAACCCCCATTGGCTAGGGTCCAAATCATAGTCAGACTAGAGTGATGTTTAAAATTCAAACAATACACAAATTTTAAATAAAACATTCGATATTTTCAGAATAAACGTTTAGTATAATATTCAGAATAGTTCCACAAAATATTCAAATAATTTTTATAATAATATTCGATATCGTTTTATACTTGACCCATATTTTATTTTAAGAGAACATAAAGACTATAAACAAATACTTATAATTTTAAACGTTTCAATAGGAATAAAAATGAACCAACAGTGATAGAAGGTTACTTACCTCAAACGCTTAAAAAAAAAATATTTTCCAAGCTAATATCAAATTATCAAGATCCACCTCAATCTCACAAACCTAATAAAATATTACCCCGCATAAACAATTATTATTGATCACCATAATGCATCCATCATTCTTTTCCTTATGATAGAAAAAGCTAATCCTATAGTCTATCAGTAATTCCCAAACCTCAGTACCGAAACAGAGCCACTACGGCTTGAACAATTTTTTTTCAAAACTTACATTATTCTATTGTTGTTTATAAACATACATAATTTTTAATTACTACCAGCCAAACTTGCATGCCAAAATTACACCACCAATAACCTTAACTTATCACATATCAATCCTAAAATATGAGCCATCCAAACGGAATGAAAAAAAAAATACACTCTAAAGTCAGGCAAACCGACACCC